ACCAGCATCTACGTCACAGGCTTGTATGAAACATGTGGCAGCACTCTGCAAAGCCATGAAATACTACATGACTGATCTTACAACCTCCCCTCCACCCTTCTCTTTATCTCATCAACCCACAGTTAGTGCCCACTTTATCTCTCCGGGTCCTTTTCCTTATCTCAGAGACCAGTGAAGTGAATTAAATGATCTCTAAATTCCCTTTCACTTCTACTTTAACCTAGAACCATATTAGAAAATGGATTTTTCATAAAACCAGGAACAGTTTGGATTACTAATAAAAGTTTTTTTTTTTTTATCTGAGACAAGGTTTCTCTGTATTGTTTAGAGGCTGTCCTGGAACTTGTTCTGTAGATCAGGCTGGCCTTGAACTCACAGAGATCCGCCTGCCTCTGCCTCCCAAGTGCTGGGATTAAAGGAGTGCACCACCAACGCTTGGCTACTAATGAACGTTAAGGACCGGATGCAAGAAGACAGGTGTGGGAAACATCAACAAAAAGCAAAGACTATGGAGAGGGCTTTGGCTTGGCATGTCAAGTGCCTTGCCTGCTAGGTATCTTAGATGAAACAGTCATGTCTCTAAACTCCAAACCACTGCATTACTTGGTGTAGTCTATGCTTTCTTTTCACGTGTTTCAGAAAGGTTATAGGTTTGTCTTCCAGGGTGTTTTATAACATTGGTCCCTCCATATCAGTATCAGTCTGTTGCAGGTTACCCTATAGAAGAGCTTTGTTAGGACATGGGTCCCTGAAGGAGGAGCCTCATTAGGTGAGACAGTTCCCATCTATATAACATAAGCTCTGAATGGGGGAGGCAGTTGCCAGAGTATCAGGACAGATACTGCATCATGGACATATGTAGCCACAGCGAGACCATGAAGGAGAGTGAGAGCTTCCCTTTAAATCCAGAGAGGAGAGCTGAGGGGGTTTCGGATGCTTACAGTTTTGTTTTCATAAGATTTACTTAGTTAGTCCATGTGTATGAGTATTTTGCATGTATGTATGTATTTATGTATATATGTATGTGAACCACATGCATGCCCTATGCCCTTGAAAGTCAGAGAGGCCATCAGGACCCCTGGAAATGGAGTTACAGGTAGCTGTGAGCCACAATGTGGGTGCTGGGAATTGAACCTTGGTCATCTACAAGAGCTATAGTGCTCTTAACCTCTGAGCCATCTCTCAAGCCCCTCTTACAAGTCTTCAGGGGAGGTGGGAACGCTTCATATCACATCACTAACCAGGAGTTGTGTAGGCAAGCACAGATGGGACCATAGTTCAAAGATGCCTTTGTCCTAGGCAGCATGGTGGGGATCTTAGGAGCACCACCTCTGCCAATTCCTGAGCACAAGTGACAGTCACACCATTGCACTTGCCAGTTCTTTATCATAATGGACAGACAGACTACAGGGGAGAACCATGGCCTGATTTCTGAAGGGTCTGTGAACTAACATGACCAATCCTTAGGAATGTCTGAGAAAGTATTTCCACAGCAACTATCAACAAGCCACTGCCTAGATGCTTCACTCGGGAGCACATCTTTTCACCTCTGCAAAGCTGGCTGAGTTATGTTCTATGACACTGGGGTGCTACATAGACACCTCCCTTTTCTCATATTTTCCACTTTCATAAAGAGGGAGCATGTAAATTGGCTGACTATTAGGTCAAATGCTACTTTAGGTCAAATGCTACTTTGCCTGCTAAGAAAAATGGCCTTGTTTCTAGTGTGATAGAAAGGGACACAAGGCTGGCCTGACAAACAAGTGGAGAGCCAATTAGATGAACCTGCTTCTCTCTCTCCTCCACACTCCTGGCTGGAGGCTTTAAGGAGGGGCAGTAGATACCCAAACACAGGACATGTCCCATATCTCTGAAGTTTTTCTAGAAGGAGAACAGATCTTGTTAGCGCTGACAGTCACTTTGGGCATGTTTGATGTTCAACAGATTAATCTAGGCCTCAAACAGAAAGCAAATGTGCTCTTTGATCTACATATTATCAGCCCATAACAGTAAAGTAACTTACAAAGGCACATTATGACAGATCAGTTTCTCATAACTACAGAAGCCTAAGAAACATGTAGGTATCTGGATGTTCAGCACATGTTATCAGAACCTAGGAATGTAGCTGAGTGTGGTGACAGACATCTATAACACCAGCATTTGCAGCATGAAGTAGGAGGATTATCATGCAATCAAGGATAATCTGGGCTACACAGTGAGAGTCTGTTCCAAAATAAATAAATAAAAACAGAACTCAACTAACAAAAACAAACTACAAATGTTCAAACTGAGTTTCTTGTGTTAGCTTTAATTATCTCAGATAAACTCCAAGTTTCCTTCCCCATGCACTTATTCAAACTTTTCTCTTGCTTTGTCTAAATGCATTGTTGTCTTGACCTTGTTACCCATTCCTGAAATCTGCTCTTTGTCATGTCTATTATTAATCCCCGTGATGCCTGGTGTGTTGGTGTGTGTGTGTGAGTGTATGAGTGTGTGTGTGTGTGTGTGTGTGTGTGTGTGTGTGTGTGTGTGTGTACTGGTACCATGTGGACATCAGAAGACTTTCATCTTTTAGTTCTCTTTCTAAATTTATGTGGGTCCTTGGTATGGAACTCAGGTCATCAGGCTTGTGTGTCATTCACTTTTATCTGCTGAACTATTTATTCAGTCTTGTTTTTCTTGTTTTGTTCTATTATGGGGGGGGGTTCGAGGCAGGGTTTCTCTGTGGCTTTGGAGGCTGTCCTAGAACTAGCTCTTGTAGACCAGGCTGGTCTTGAACTCACAGAGATCTTCCTGCCTCTGCCTCTTGAGTGCTGGGATTAAAGGCATGTGCCACTGTGTTTTATAATTTGACTTATTCATTTCCAGAATTTCTGTCCAGTTCTTTTTCAAAGCCTGTCTTAGTCACTGTTGTGTTGCTATGAAGAGACACCATGACCACAGTAATTCTCATAAACAAAGGCACTTAACTGGGGACTTACTATAGTTCTGGAAACTTAGCCCATTATTATTGTCGCAGGGAGTCACACGGTAGGCAGGTATGGTGCTGAAGCAGTAGCTGAGAGCCACATCCTGATCTGTTGGTGAGTCTCAAAGCCCACCCTCAGTGATACAGTTCCTCCAACAATGTCACACCTTTTAATCTTTCTCAAATAAGCATTGAAATATATGAGCCAATGGAGGCCATTTTTACTCAAATCACCACAGAGTCTATATTTCCTTGCTCATTTTTTCCTCTATGTTTTCAGTTTCTTTTGTAAGTTACCATCTCATCCATTTAGGTAACTTTCTTGTCTTGGTTTTGAATTGATTTCTTTCCCTTATTCATGAGTTTGCTTAAGTCTTGTGTATAATTTTAATTCTTTTTAAAAGTAAGACTTTTGAGTCTTTATCTGGAATCTCATCTGCTTCATTACTTCGGGTTTGCAATACTATGCAGTTGTGAGCTTGTGTCCTAGTGAGTTGCGTCAAAGTTGTGCTTTGCACATCTGTTGAGGTATGTTCTCCAGGCATTCGAGTTTTTTTCCTATTCACACTCTGTTTTAGCTATACTAGTAAGCCCTGGCTGGCCTGGACCAAACTCTGCCACCCTTTGGTTTGTTTTACAGTATGTGAGTCCCTCTGCCGACTTATCTTTATTTGGATTTATGTTTTCTCATATCATGGAGCTGGAGGTCACCTTGCAGATACAATGATTTGAAAGTAGTCCCTGTATTATCTGCTGGAGACACTTGTAGACTTCACTTGTGTCCCCAGTAAAATTCAGGGACTGCAGCAAAGGGTCTTGGTTGGGAGGGGGGATGTAGTTTATAGTTCTTTTTAGAGTAAAGGTATTGATATTTAAGTAGTTAAATGAAGAAGGCATGGGGAAGGAAAAAGAATGAGACTAGGTGGGTTAGAGGCATGAGAAATAGTGGAAATGTACAGTGGGTGCAGAGAAGGAAAGTCCTAAGAGCCCTTCCTGGACAGACACATGCCAAAGCAGGAAAGCTAAGCAATCGTCAAGTAGAAAAGTGTAAAGAAATACATAAATTAAATTAAGCCATAAAATCAAACAAGGAATTGTTAAGTCAGACAGAATTTCTCCCTCATTGGGGTGTTTCTCTCTCACTGGATAGCCTTTTGTATCAGCCCTCACAGGTTGGGGGAGGATCCAGATAACATAGTCAGCATGTTCTGCCAGATGAGGATTTTTATGACCAAAGCCCATTTTTCTGCCAGAATTCCCCAGTCTGAGGCTCTGTGCCTGAAAATTACAACCTCATCTCTGGTATTTGGGGATCATTCTTTCCACACCAAGGGCTTTCTGAGACTGAGGCTTTAAGGGGTGTGGAAGGCATGCAGGCCCATGTTTGCCTTTGTCAATCCAGTCAGGTTACTGTGCCAACTTTGGCAGCACACTTCCCACGATGCCATGTAACTTGCCTAGACAATGGTGTGTGTGTGTAGGGGGTGCCTTCTCCAGCAGATATCTCCTTGTTTCAGCTCCAGGTTCCTGTGCTACATTTCCGTTTCAGATGTCTCCCGGGGCACACAGATCCAGCCTCTAGTTGCATTTGTACACAGGGAGCTTCTTTTCTCTCTCCCTCAGTTGTGGTACCAACTTCTGAGAGCATTTGCCTCTTGGCTGCCCCTAACACTGGCCGGCACAGCAGCACAGTAGAGCATGGTGTGGGCAGCTCAGCTACTGCTTTGCAGAGAAGCTCTTACTCTGCTTCTGTAGCCCTTTCTCTTATGTGAATAGGACCTTTGAAAACAAGACAGTGTCTTCTGTAGCCTTTAATGGCCCTGAACTTATGTGGCCAAGGATGACCTTGAATTGCTGATCCTCCTGCCTTCACCTTCCAAGTGCTAGAATTATATTCATATACCACCACACCTGATTGATTTATTTATTTACCCATTTTTAATTCAATTGTACCAACTATGACTACTAATCTGTCACCTTACTCAGAAGTCTGCATAAATATCTCTTTTTTGTTGCTGTTTTTATTGTTAAGGTAGGACCCCATGTCGTACTCCAGACAGGCCTAGAGATCTCTACATAGCTGAAGCTGATTTTGAAGTCATGGCCATACTCCTGTCTAAACCTCCAAGTGTTGGGATTACAGGTATGTACCTCCATGTCTTGCAGCAAAATCACCTTTATAATTCTTTGTTTCTACAGTGCCTCATTCAGTTATGACACAAAGTTAGTTTTAAAAGTTCAACCAGAGGCCGGGTGTTGGTGGCGCACGCCTTTAATCCCAGCACTCGGGAGGCAGAGGCAGGAGGATCTCTATGAGTTCGAGGCCAGCCTGGTCTACAGAGTGAGTTCCAGGACAGCCTCCAAAACAATACAGAGAAACCCTGTCTCGAAAAACAAAACAAAACAAAACAAAAAAAAGTTCAACCAGAATATTTTCCAACGTCTTCCACTTAATGCTCATACTGTTTGGAAATGTGAACCACAGAGAAACTGTTAACAAGAATTTCAATTCAAAATAAGCAATAGACTTTTAGATTTCCTAAGTGCAATACATTTCAACTAAAGTTTTATACCTTCAGTGTGCTTTTCTAAACAGCTGAATAATTTGAACGAAGTTCAACACAGGAAGCATAAATCATGGCCTAGTCTTCAAGAATCAAGATTCTATTCTATTCATAGTGTGTGCTTTCCAGAGAGGGAACATGGACCATGTTTTCAAGAAGAATGAAACCAAATGTCTCCCTGTATAACCACTGCTTATACAGAAAACGAAAGCCACTAGTACATTTCCTTATCTCCCCAGTAATTAAGAAAGACGGAGACATGGGATGGGAGGTGAAACATTTTATCTACTGGTGCCTACAGCACTGTGTACACACAATCTCACTGAATCTGACCAGCAGCCCTATGGCATGTCACACTCACATACAACAGGTAACATAGCTAAGACTGAGAAGGAGTGTGTGTGACTGATCAAAGATATAAAACAGTAAGTAGACCTGGACACAAACTTGGGTCTTTCTCTTCTCAAAATGTTTACTTCATTCACTGTGCCATGCTCCCTTTCTACAGTGTTTTTACAGAAATACAAAGTATCTGAGAAAATGAGTTAGGATAAAACCAAGTTTTAATTTTCATGTAGCATGGTATAATGAAAAAAGAACACTGGACCAGGTGGTGGAAGAGGTGTTTTCTACTCTACCATAATCACCTACGTGGCCATATCCAGACAGCCAGGTCACAGCATGGGATCATCATAAAGATCAGATGTCCCTATCCAATCCCTTTCCCTCTGCAATTTCTCCCTCTCCCTCCCTCCCTCCTCTCTCTCTCTCTCTCTCTCCCTCTCTCCTCTCTCTCTCTCTCCCTCCCTCCCTTCCTCTCTCCCCTCTCCCTCCCTCCCCCACCCCCTCTGTGTGTGTGTGTGTGTGTGTGTGTGTGTGTGTGTGTACATGTCCTCATGTGAGTATCTCAGCGTGCATATACAAGGAAATGAGAGGTATTTTTTTGAGACAGGACCATTCACTGAGTCCAAAGCCCACTGATTTGTCACCAGTTCAACCAGGCTCCTATGATCTGCTGCTCTTTGCCTCCCCAGCACTGGGATTACAGATTTGCACCTTTGTTCCTGCCTTTCTAAGTGGCTGGTGGGGATCTGTATTCAGGTCTTCATATTTTCATAGCAATCGCTTAGGATAAGACGTCACCACCCCAGTCCTACCCTTCCCATCTCAGGTTAAGCCATTCACCTACTATCAGACATGAGCATAATTCAGGTTAACAAACCCATCTAGGACTCCTTCCACTGGGTCATGTCTCCCTTCTGTGTGTATTCCTCTTTCCTTTATAAAAGCAGACCTCAAAAACAAATGGAGTCTACTTAGACTATAATATGCGGAAACAGAGACTTTTATTTTGATTTCTTAGTCTATGACTAAAGTATGAGAGGTTTCAGAGATACTGTGAAAGCAGGGCCATAAAGCTCCAAAGTCTCTGTGTGGCTGTACAGGTGTATATATAATATAAGGAGCAGAGGAGATAAAAGGGGAGGGAGGGAGGGGAGAGTAAGAGATGGGGATTATAAATAAATTTACAACTTAGGAGAAGGGTTTGAGATACAGAGTTGGAAAGTCATAAGCATACAGATGGAAGGCAAAGCCACGGAGGTGAATGAGCTCACTGGGGGGAGTGTGGAAAGCAGCGAAGGCCCGAAGCCAAACCCCAAGGCACTTTACAGTTTGAAACCTGGTATAGGCTAGGAGCCAACAGAGGAGATTTTCAACATGATTGTGTGTATCGTGATGCCGTGAGAGGAGAATGCAGAGGCAACATATTCCAAATGTATTGACCTTGGAACGTGTTGCCACATAGCATCTTGAAGAGCTGTTCCTAATGAAAACACTCCGGGAAAACTTCTTCCCTTCTAGCTCTCCTCCACCCGTGGTACAACAAACGAGAGTCTAAGGCAGCAGTTTTCAATCTGTGGGTGGCGACCCCTTTGGAGGGGGATTGAACAACCCTTTCACAGGGGTTGAATGTCAGATATCCTGCACAGTAGATATTTACATTAAGATTCATAATCTGGTAGTAATGGTGCACACCTTTAGTCCCAGCACTTGGGCGTCAGAGGCAAATAGATCTCTGAATTCAAGGACAACCTGGTCTACAGAGTGAGTTCCAGGATAGCCAGGGCTACACAAAGAAACCTTGTGTTTAAAACAAAAACAAAACAAAAGATATTATAAAAGATTTATAATAGTAGCAAAATTACAGTAATAAAGCAGGAGGACTGAGTGAAGCTCCTAAGACAGGCTCAGGGAAGTAGATGACCTGTATTATTATTTTTTCCCTGTGAAGTGTATAACTTTTTGGGATATTAGCACACGGGTGTGGGTGTGCTTACCTACACACGCTATACCAAAGCACATTTGGTTTCTCAATTTTCTAGAGAGGAGCTCTTTGCTTATAAGTAATAGAAACTACTCAGAAGACCTGTAAGTGAAAAAAATTGTGTCAAGGGTTACTGAAAGGGAACACATCTGGTGCTAGTACCTTACTGGGATCTGAGGCAGCTTTAGGGATCTCTCTCTCTCTCTCTCTCTCTCTCTCTCTCTCTCTCTCTCTCTCTCTCTCTCTCTCTCTCTCTCTCCTCTTATTTGTGTAGTTACCTTGAACTTCAATAAATAAAAGAGTATCTTGATTCACTTTCCCCTTTCAGCCTTTGCCTTCCTAGTCTGTCCTATGCCATTAACATAGCGAGAAGTCATTATTGTATCCCTCTCTGTTTCCCACATTACCGACAGGAACCCCTTCTGCCTCTGCTCCTCAAGTACCTGCCAGAACCATCTACAGACACACCTGTCATCACCTCTCAGACAAACTACTTACTGTAAGACCATTATCACTTAAGAGCTCTGCCCCTAAATTCCCTTCTCCACAGATCAACTAAGGAGAATGTTTTCTTTTTTCCAAGACAGGGTTTCTTTGTATGGCCTTGGCTGTCCTAGAACTTGCAGACATCCACCTGCCTCTGCCTCCCTGGTGCTAGGATTAAAGGCGTGTGCAACCACTGCCAGTCAAGAACTTTCTTTTTCAAATAGTATGTCATTAAGGCTCAAAACTTTTCAAGTAGCTTCCCCCTGCATATTACTATATTCTCTGAGATCAAATCTCATCTTATGTACTCCCTGGTTACTCAGCTCTGTGACCCAAGGTTTTTTTTCTCTTTCTCCAACAAGCCAAACTTTGTCTTGCCAGGTATTTGGACTTCATCACTTCCAGCTTATCTTGGCAACATCACCACTTAAGGGTTTCACAGTCCATATTTGAAGCAATCAATGTTTCTTGTTAATCTCTCTTAAGTAGGAATTCTACAAGGCTGGGGATGGCATTCCAGCTATCTTGTTCATCCTTCACTGAGGTTTCCTCATACCAAGCACATTGTAGGCGCTCAATAAATATTTGTTGCATTCATGAAGAAGCTTTAAAATTACATATTGGAGAAAATTACAAAATTATTTTAACACAGCATTCCTCAAATTAATTCAAATACATGACCCTACCTATTGTACAGTAACTTCATTCTTCTAAGAATAATTCCTAGAGCACACTGTGTGGTTTATGATGGCATTTAGTGGGGCTGATGCTTAAAACTTAATGGTTTTGAGTCGGTTATTGGTGGCACACACCTTTAATTCCAGCACTCGGGAGGCAGAGGCAGGAGGATCTCTGTGAATTTGAGGCCAGCCTGGTCTACAGAGCAAGTTCCAGGACAGCCTCCAAAACAATACCGAGAAGTCCTGTCTCGAAAAACCAAAAACCAAACCAAAACAAAAAAACTTAATGGTTTTTAAGTGACAAAACTTGCAAATGTTATAAGCCAACATTTTGGAAGTTTTTATGAATCCTATATTAGGACAGTACTTGTTTTTCAATGTTTTTTCTTTGAAATATGAGTTCAAAAAATTAAGCTAGTTGCTTAATATGGTGGGGCTCAGAGATGGCCAAGGTACCTGTGGTGGGAGGAGGCGTCCCAGCAGGACCAGGGTAAATGAAGGGATGTGGTTAACTAAGGCTGAAAGAGCGTGGTGCCCAGGAAAACTTTGCTGTTCCCAGTGCGATTTTTAGAAGCAGAGACCTGCAGTTGGGAACATGGCTATTTTTATACTCTCTCTGTTTTCTGTAATTATTTCTCTTCTGTTTCCCCTCATGTTTAGTAAAAGCTGTTCTTGAAAATACCAGCCAGGTTTGTCAAGCTCCATGCTGAAGCTTTTAAAGAACCACACAGCCATGGGAGAGAGGTCGACAGATGACAGAGTGACATGAGACTACAGACAGAACTCCACATGGAGAGCAAAGTCAAGCCATACCTTCAGGGAGTGGGCTGCTCTTTCTAACATGGAGACACTGAAGACTGATTCAGTTTGTTTCTGGTGTGTTGAAACATTGGGAGGTTTTCTGTTGCATCTTAATTAGTTAAGGTCACTTTACAAAATCATACATATATACACTATTAATCTACAAAAACCAGTTGGTAAAGTCAGTTTTCTAGTCACTTGAAAACCTCTAAATAAATAAGAATCTAAGTGCCTCAGAAATAATATTTAAAAATACAAAAAAGTTTGAGTTTCTCAATTATCTGAA